TTTCCTTTTTTTTTTCCTTTTTCTTTCTTTCCTTTTTTTTTTTTCCTCCAAAAAACACCACCCGGAATTTTTATTTTATTTTTTTGTTCTGCTGGGATTTTGGCATCTTTAATCAAGTTTAATGCACATTCTTGCGACGGATGTGTTGAACAATGTCAGAAATCTCAGTGGCAAACAATATTTTTATGGAGGGTAAGGTTCGGGCAGGCACTGGGCACGCCAAAGTGCGGCTGCCCCACTGGTGATTGACTGCAATAGCAGATGAGCTCTGTTTGATTACTAAGGAGTGGGGCAATTTGCATGGGCGTATTCATGGCAAATTCTCTGCGTAAAGTGAGAGGGTAATATCATACTAATATGTATCTGCCCGCTTAACACACCTGCGTAATAGGCTCTTGCCAGCTTTGGAATTTCCTACAGTGAACAAGTGTATGCATTCGTACCAGTCAGGTGTCCCGCATGGGGCTCCTATGAAGCGGATGACCACTGACCGGCTTCTTGAAAACTCCATGAGTCTGCCTTTAGAGACTATGAAAAGAAGGAGATAGAAAAGACTATGCCGCATTTGCTTGTTTGTTTGACGGATTTGACATATGAAATCCAAATAAATAAGATGAAGTATATTTCTGTACTTAACTGCGCCGTGGCTTTTGCAACAGGCTGGTTACAGGCATATAATGACAACTGTTTTCCCCGGAACAGAAAGTACGGTCGTTCTAGTTGAATTTAGGGTAACATTCAGTCTAGATGCAAAGACATTGACCGTGCATTCTATTTGGGGGAAGACGGTATGCAACTTTTTGCGGCAAGGGGATTGCGGGAATAGATGGGGGAAATTCAGTGCGTCCGAATGCGCTGTTAATGGTTGCATGGATGTTTGAACTTCGAAATTCGAAGAGGTTTCGTGGCATTCTGTTTTGTACGGGCCTTTTGAGGCCTTCTTTTGAGGACAAGTGTCTATGATGGGCCTGTAGTTTTAAATCCGTGCTTCCTTGGATGCGTTGCCTTTGTGTTGTGATTCTTCGTCTTGAATTCGGCAGAAGAAGGTGGCTGATCGGGTTGCTCGGTTGATGCTGCGGAATTTGCGACCTCGCATTCTCATTGGGGGAAAGTTGATGGAAGATGAAAAGGCAACATTGGCCGAATGCGGTCTGACATCTGATGAGAACATGATTGGGTTCCGGTTGGAGATAGACTCTGGATTGGGAGATCTCCTTGGGTCATCTGAGGATAAGGATGTCGCTCTTCCGCCTGCCACTCCCGCTCCTGTTGTCGGGTTGCCTCTTCCTATACAACAGAGGCAAGTACCACCAGCTCTATGCCCTACTCTGTGGATTGCCTGGGTTATCACCCCTACTACTGCTTGTTCTGCTTGAGGTGTACGCGAGGCTATGAAAATCGTTGAGCCTTGTTTCCTCACCAAGAGCATGAAGTTATGAACCACAACACCCATCATCGTACCACATTTGTATGCACAATCATACCCCCCTTGTGACTCTCCTTGTTGTTCGCATGACCAAATATAACTCGCAACAGGTTGGGGTGGGGGCGCTTTACCCGTTGGACCGAGTGTGGCCGTACCAAGGGCTGAGGTCAGGTTCAGACAACAGACTTTTCTCGCTGTTTGTCCGGGGCAATAGGAACAGCAGCAGCAGCAGCACAGCGGGTATGTCCGACCCCGGGCTATTGCTTGTAACTGCTATGAACCTAACTGTATGCCTGGACCGAATCCATCCTGCTAGGATGAAGTGGGATTCGGTCCAGGCATACAGTTAGGTTCGGATATTTCCGGATGGGCACTGCTGGACCATTGTGATGCATACCCAGGGTAAGACTGGATGGGCACTGCGGGACCAAGGATGGAATGTCGCATATGAAGCACAGCTGAGGACACAAAACGACAGCATGTGGTAGCACATCACAGCCACCATACATCCAGGGACGAATTGGGAGGCAAATGGAGGAGGAGGAGGAGAGAAGATGGAGATGAGAATGACTCAAAACGTTAATGCGAATTTCTCCTCCATCTAAGTCCTTATCGCCACCTTTAAAGTTCACCGGAAATGAATGTTCCGCCATATCTGTCCCAACATGCTCACCTCTCCCCCAAAATCGCAACTCAAGTCTCCCACACTCCCTCCCTCCCCAAACGAGAAATCGGAACTCTCTCTCTCTCTCTCTCTCTTTCTCTCTCTCTCTCTGTGTGTGTGTGTGTGTGTGTGTGTGTGTGTGTGTGTGTGTGTGTGTGTGTGTGTGAGATAAAAAGCTATTTTATCTGTTAGTGACAACTGACCTGCAGAGAGAGAGAGGATGTTTTGAGGGTGGGTTGATACAGAACCATATGGCGATGACATGGCTGCTGGATAGGACTGTGGAACAGTTGCTATGATGGCCAGGGACCTTCCCCTTCCTGTCTCAACCTGCAGACCTCTCCTGATTGCACCTCTGGATGCTGGGCCAGGTCTATGGTGGATAACATCCACTATCACTTACCACTAGTGCACCCATCCAGCAGTGGGGCGAATCATCAGGAGAACGAACTAAGTGAATTTGCCTGGCCGAACCGACCACTGTAAAGTGCAGCAGGGCGTTACCCCATCTGGCGCGCCTGTTTCTTGGCCACTCAGATATACTATTTATTGATTGATTGGGAGAACAGTATGGACCCTAAAATGGTCCTGTGATGTTCAGATGATGTGTAGTTGGTCCGGATCCTGGGGCCTGTCTCCATCCTCTGCTATTGGGGCAAAGGCTTGGTCTGAAGTCTCGACCTTCTTCTCCAAGGGGAGACGACGAATAGTCATGTAGTAGGGGAAAAAGGGCCTGTCATAGGGCCTCACTCCCAGTATGTAACAGTCTTATTTTATCTGCACATGTTAACAGCCCCAATACACATTTAGGCATTGTATACGGTCGAAGTGTCTGCCCTTGGCGTGTTGAAGGTTGAGTAATGTAGCGAGGCCCGTAATGTGGATAAAGATGGTGCAGCCCTCCAATGGGCCCATGCCGAACATGTGCAAATGGATAAAGATGGTGCTGCCCCCCAATGAACCCCTGACAAACATGTGCAAGCACCAACAGGCACATACGTCCACAAAGAACACACACGCTCAGAGCACGAATGTGCACAGAGGACAGAAATGAACAGTTGTCCTACAGTCTTCCCCCGAATACAACGTACGGTCATTATAACTGAATTTAGACGGAAAGATCGACCAAGTTCAGCTATAATGACCGTACGTTGTATTCGGGGGAAGACTGTAGTATGGACAAAAATGGGCACTTTTTGTCCTTACTGAATGAACAGACACATGAACAGGCACCTGCCTCTGCAGAATCGAACGTATAAATAGATAGAAATGGAAAGAGACAGGCAATCATCAAAATAAACTTTAAGTCTGAAAGTGTAATTGTTCATGATCACTGGTTGTGGCGTGCAGTGGGCGCGGCACGTCGATGGTTCGCAGCGTGTGATTGTGATTACTGTATTTATCGGTGGGGTAAATTGTTTTTTGTGTGCGCAGCATTGTGCCTGGAAGCTCTGGCATGTCAGATGATGGGCCCCCTCCGACGAAGACGTTCTCTGGAAGGGGAAGAGGGAGGAAGATGATGAAGGGTCGTGCGAGACGGCCCTCGGGTAGTGAAGACGGGCAACGTACTTCTACTTATTCAGGAGGACATGCAATTGCCCATGCTCTTACAGTATACAGGGCTCACTGCATAGGAAGGGGGCAAGGTCTAGGGAGGGGCAGAGGCAGAGGTCGTGGACGGGGAAGAGGAAGAGGAAAGGGTGTGGGATTCAGTGGAACAAGCAAGGAATCTGATCCGGATTCGCGACAAGTGATGCAGACTTTGAGCGTCACTAAAGGAAGGGTTGCTGCAGCAGAAGCTCTTGCTGCGATCCGTGCACAGGCAGAGGCTGAAAGGCGAGACGAAGAGATATTGTGGGAGGATGCGGACGGTGAGGACAATGACGGCGTTAACTTCGATGACAACAGCAGTGATGGTGAAGATGGCCTCACGGACACAAGGAGGACGAGTGGAGATGAAGATGGAGAGTACGTTGCTAGCCGGCAAGTCACAGATCCATCTATGATTAAACTTCAAGGGAAGAGGAGAGTGAGGAGGCCATTCTCTGTTGCAGAAGTAGAAGCCCTTGTCAGTGCAGTTGAGCGTCTGGGGACTGGCAGGTGCGCTTGAATTTGCTCGTATGCAATTGTAAGCTCATCTTTGCCAGTTCATGAAGCCGCATGGTTTTCCACACAATGAGAGCTCTACTCTTCTTCCCCCAAAGAATCTCCAGCTGTCTCCATGGATTGTTAAAAAAAAAAAAAAAAAAAAAAAAAAGCACACTGTCATCATCATTACATCTCCATGCCTGTGTGCAGGCCTTGTCGTCTCGTCGACTTCATTAGACTATGAATGAACATGCCCGAATCCCATGTTGCAGTTGCACTTGCCAACCGAAGCACACGATCATTAATGGTGATGAAAGGACAACGTGCAGGTTGTCCACCCTTTCCCCAGCAGCATGGTGAAGAAAGGAGCGGACAAATCTCCATAGAAATCTTGATTCATTTCTGAAAACGGGTGGACTTTCTAGTGAAGATCCAACCTTGGGAGATGTGTGAACGCCATCTTGATTAAGGTCTGCGCATCTCATCCACTGCAACTGTTGGATTGTTGACTTTGCAGGTGGCGGGATGTGAAAGTGCAGGCATTTGCTCATTCAAAACATCGGACATATGTAGATCTGAAGGTGAGTTTCTATGATTTTGTTGATATTTCATGCTTACTACCATAGCGGTTCGGCTCAGCAGAACACAAGTGTTTTAGTGCCTGAACCTATTTTCCTGAAAACTAGGGGCAACACAAGTCTTGTTGAGATTCCGTGCTTTAGTGATCCTGGCCTTCCGAGCCCGAAGGGTTTGGATCGACCGTGGCCCAGCAGATAGGGGCAGCCATATGCGTTTATGCCGTTTAGCGCACGGCAGAACTTTGTTGGGCAGCATTTCGAGTCTGTAGTACTCGTAGGAATTAGTGTTGCCTCTCTTTGCCTTTCGCAATGGCATCTGCCCTATACATTCAAAGTTGCTTTCACATATTTTCTTTATCAAGACAGGTGAATAAACGTTGCCAGAGAAGGCTTCCTGGATTATCTGCCCTCCTTCCTGGGCTCCCCTGCACCTGGCAAGCTGAAACTGCCCCTGGTTATGCCCTTGTTGGGAATGGGCCGTCGGGGCTACTTGCAGTTTTTAAGGGAAGTATATATATGTGACATTTAGTGGAAGCTGCTTGCAGAATCCTTTTGTACGCCTCTCCCTCTCTCTCTCTCTCTCTCTCTCTCTCTCTCTCTCTCTCTCTCTCTCTCTCTCCTGTCTCTTATACACATCTAGATGTGTATAAGAGGCCCATGCTCGAGAGAGTGAGGTCCACTCGAAACAGGCAGTTCTTGAATGGCGTGTTTGATGGTCGTCCTTCATTAGTGGGTGGTCGTTCTGTGATTAGGTATCTTTGCAAGCACACGTGTTGGTTTTTGTGTATACTCTTTTTTTTTTTNCTCTCTCTCTCTCTCTCTCTCTCTCTCTCTCTCTTTCCCCCCCACTTTCTCTCTCACACACATGCAGACACACACACACACACACTCGCTCACTGACTCGCACATACACACACACGCACCTCCTTCTGCTACATCCTCTCCGTTAATTGCCTCATCTTCTTCGTTGTTGCCATCCTCCTCTCCTCACATCCCAACCCCCCCCTCCACCCTCGTCATAATCCTCATGAGATTGGCTGTCACAGATGCCTCTTTGGCGGAGACATCTCCACAGCGATCTTGTTTGTACATGAACAGAGCGATCATCATGCCCCCAGCGGAAGGTAGAGATCTATTTTCACACGATGCTGTCAACGATATGTAAAGACACCTTCGCTCCCATTACATAGGCCAGGAATTGTACATACCGAGCCCGCTGTCAGCAATGTGGCGATGATTTTTACAGTGCTGCAGGCATGGATGTGTACCAGACATGACATGCAGCCAACTGTGAAGCATTTGCATGACTAGTGGCCACTCTGAGTACAAGCGCGGTTGATCAGCTTCTCCTTCTTGCATCTGACCCGTCCACTTCTAATCTACCTCGGGCCAATTGCTCCCCCACTCCAACTGACAATGATCCACCCTCTGATCATTTGATGGAACCGCCGACTTGAGATGGTCTTTGTCCGGAACGCATGCCAAAGCCAATCGAGTTCATACAGCAAGAGGAACCTGACAGAGACTGTGAAGACCAGAATGGTCCTCCCTCTGGCATACAGTCTGCAGAATCAAATGATCCCATAGTGCTACGTCGAGGCCACTGTATGTACTATGCCCGTAATGCGTGTCTTGTCGCTCACACGCTGGCTGTGCCATGCCATTGTTCTCTCCACAAAGGTACATTTCAGTTAGAATGCACACGACTCACCCGCCAGTTATCGTGTTCCCCCGATTGCCGTTGTGGCCTCAACATGACATGCGTAGATAACTGCGAACGCCAGCCTGCTTTCTTTCTGGCATGTCATTAATATGCCAGGTGTCGTCAGTGTTTCCGGGAAGCTGTCATGCAAAGCATGTGTCACTACTGTGTGGACTATCCGCGATGCGATTACCTGCCACATGCTCTCCGTTCGTCTACCGCATGCAATGTTGGCCACCCTCTGGCTTTACCCATAGTCGGATCTCCTCCATTGCCAGATGAGCAACCGACACGGCAGTGTGAGGTGCAGAATAGACTCGCACATGAACCGTCTAGCATGCGCTGTACCGAATTGTTGTTGCTCCAGGGCGAGCTGTTGCAGACCAGATCTTGCAAGAGCGAAAAACCCTTACTTTTGAGTAGGCCCAGTCATGGCCTGATCTAAAGTAAGGGAATATCGGCTGCGGAAACCCACGAAACTTGCTCAGTGCCGCACCATGATGGCCTACCGGAGGTTCGGCTACCATGTAATAGAAATGCTTTATGTCGTGAGGATTATGAAGGCATAGCCCGTGCAGCAACGTTGTACTCGTGTACGACACCCTCACATGCCATGTCCTAATGCTAGACAAGGGCTGGAAGGGGGGGGAATGCCTATACAATTGCGGTCGTTGTGCGTCTGTGTTCCTAGCATGCGGGAGCCACGTAACCTGCGACATGTGTTCTATGCCATGCCATTCGATGTGGCAATGGCAACTGTGAGAGTTGGATGCGGTGCATCCACACAGCCCACACCTGAATTGGCTCTGTCCGGTGTCCAGGGTTGGCCGCTTACCATCGTAGGTGACGCCTGCCCTCAACTCAAATTTCCCTGTAACCGAAACACTGACTGGCCTCTTGTGCCATTCCAAAGTAGTCTTCTCTGCCGGCTGAGTATTGAGAACCCTGTGAATTTTCCTTTGCTCTGTTCTATTCCTTGTCCCTTCAGTCCCCTCGTCTTCCTCTTCTCCCTCCTCCTTCCTCTGGTGTAGAACTCCCTCCTCTTTTTTTTCCTTCCTCCCCTTGTGTGGTACTAGTAAATGCATAGGAATGAGTATCATAAAGAGAACAGACAAAATATAAGCTGAAGCTGAAGATTTGCTGAAAAACGAACAGGAGTGTACCTCCCCCTTTACTCTGCACTCCTTTCATAGAGTGCAAGTGGGCCATTATGGCACATGGGGATGTGGGCAGCTCTCGCTCAACCACAATCAGTGTGCTGAGCCTTGTTCGTGAGAGGCACAGTGAAAGGAGAGCTGTAAGAAGAAGAAACAAAAAAAACAATCCAAAAAGAAATCCAAAGTAAGGAAAGCAAAGAAAGAGAAAGGACCGGAATCCTGATGGAATCGGACGAGTGAAAATAGCTCTGAATTTATCTGGGGCTGGTCAGCTCAAGGATTATATCTCAAGGTTGTTGCCCGTAAAAAAAAAGAAAAAGGAAAAAAAAAAAATAGAAAGAGGAAAAGGAAGCACGAGCAAAAAGGAGAAAAAGAGGAAGGAAAAAAGTACGACTGTACAAGGGTGGTTTTAGCGTGCGTCATGTTGTTTGCTATGGAGCCTATGGGGGTAAACCTGCTCCAATGTCGAATGTGCTTCATGTTGTTTGCTATATAGACGTAAAGCTGTTTCAAGTTTGGATCTGCTCATCTGGATGGAAAAGGGCGGTTGTGGTGCCAATTAACACAACACGCACACTCACACACGCTCCCTTGCTCCCCCCTGCCGCAGTGTATGTGTGTGTCTCGATGTTTAGCTATAGGCTTAAGCCTCCTGATGATGAGTCGGTGACTCTGTCAGAGGCCCGCATTCATTGTCCTCTTCTCCCTATTCCTACGGTTTACCAAGCAGTTCTGTTTGTCGATATATGGGCCTTGCTGCACTACTTTCCACATGCACAAGAGACACAAAATATGGCGGTGCATCTTTCCATTTTCTAGCAGAAGGTTCATTCTCATTTTCCACATTTGTCACTATATCCCTCTCAATGGTTCTGATAGTGCGGCGATGGTCACTGTATTATCCACGTTCTGCTTTTCCCCCCTGGCCCCCGACGCTCTCATCCTGCCCCTGCTTGCGCATCTGCTGCTGCTCCAGTTTATACTGGTGCAGTTTCCACTGCTGCAGTTTCTACGGCTGCAGTTTCTCTGCTGCTACAGTTTCTATTGCTGCTGTTTCCACTGCTGCAGTTCATCTTCAGTTTGCAACACCACCACTCCTCTTATTGTGCATTGTTGGCGGCGTGTTTTGCATCGTCACTTGTCTGCGAATCTGCAGCCTGTTCCTTTGTCTGACCCAACTTGCTCTGTGCCTGCTCCACAGGTTATTTATTGTGGTTCCTTTTTCCAAATGGCAATATCCCACTCCAATGCCTCTTGCAGACAGTCCAGCTGCCTGCAGGCAGGCACAGAACCATGCGTTACGCCCTCCAGCGCTAGAAATTTGCAAGTCATCTGTACAATAGGGTGCGGTCCCCGCCAAGGGTAGTCCCAATTCCAGTCCCTACTCAGGATGCAGGAAGGCCCAACGGTAGAGGGATTGGAACATGATTTGTCCGGATTGCAGTTAAGGGCAAAAAAAAATTGCCATTAACTGCGCTGACCGGTTTGGGAGACCGTTGGGGTCAGCGATTTTGCCCCACAAAGCGGAGTAGACCGTATGAGGGATCTGCAAATGGCTGACCAGCGTTATGGACGAGCCGCAAATTTTTTTGCCCCACTAGGCGCAGACCGCATGGATCATCTGCGAACGACTGACCATCAAACAGCCCAAGACGTTGCGTAACCATCTGGGTGATCTGCAAATTGTTGGGCAGCAGTCGGCCCACCAGCCTCAGATCCCACCAATCTCTGCTGTCCGACTGCATCTGATATCTGTCTTCGCATTCTCCACCGCCCGTTTTATACACCGTCACATTTCCTTGCAGTTGCCCTTCAGCTTGATGCTGATCTTCCCCACCTACACCCAGTGGATGTAATTATACCGGCGAAAGCGGGCTCTTTACCATTGCTGTCCTACAGACAAGTAGCAATGAGGGATTGCCAACTCAAAACTATACAATGCGCAAGCAGGCGAGTGGTTTAATCCTCCGTCGCACATCTCTGCCTGCATTGTACAAGGACCTGACCATTACATGGGCACTGTACATGTATCTGACCACTGGGATCTGTGGCATGGCATGCTCCATGCCATGACGATGTGATGGGTTTCTTACTTACATAATGATGCTGTTCTCTCACACACACGGAACTGTGTGCAATCTCTTTGATGTCGAAGATCATCCCTGTGGCCCCGTGCTGCAGCGGGACAATGTACCAACATTCTCCGGCTTTCTCCTTTGCACCACTACAAACACTGTTACACGGCTGCGGCCGCCATTGTCTCTGTCACAATCATTACAATGGCACAATTTCTGCATCCTTGTATGTAGAGGACTGTCCTTCGGCTCCCGACTGCAGGCACCTTTTGCACCCGGACACGACATGTCCACTTTGCGGTCATGGGCATTATACTGAACACGTGGTCTTTTGTGGTGCCCGTTCTTGCAATCGATATGCCATTTGTCGGGAGTGTATGGTGGGCATGCTCAACGCCAGCCATTGTGCCAATTGTCGTACTGACAATGCGCAGCTAGGTCTTCCATGTTCATCCACCTCATCTTTACCATTGCTATGACAGACCGATTCTTGAGCCTTTCCTTATCCTTTCCTTTGCTCTCATCTTCGTTCCACACTCGTTACTTTCCCTCCCTTTGTCTTCCTTCGCTTTGTCTGCTCTCCATCTTTTCTCGGTGTTTATTCCGCTTTCCGTTTACTCTGCCTCTTTCTCGGATCGTACAAGTGGGCCGTTTTGGCACATGGGGATGCGGGCAGCGCGTGCTCAGTTTCATCAACTTGGCATGCCTTGTGCACGTGAGGCACAGTTAAAGGCGGAGTTAAAAGAAGAATGATAAAAAAGAATGGTCTGAGTGACTGAGTGTCCTTTTTTTTTTTTTCTTTTTTTTTTTTTTGAACAGTTGACGATTGGACAAGCGGTCGGGGGGCCCCCCCCCTTATTCCCCCCCCCCCCCCCCCCCTTCCCCCTGCGCTATGCTCCCTCTGGGGAATTAGTACCCTACTGCGTGTCTGGGTGCTGCTATCGGTGGTAAACCTCCCAGCCAGTAGGGTACAGTTAAAGGCGGAGTTAAAAGAATGGTCTGAGTGACTGAGTGTCCTTTTTTTTTTGAACAGTTGACGATTGGACAAGCGGCCTCGGGGACGTCCCCCGTGAATGCTCCCCCCCCCCCCCCCCCCCCCCCCCCCTTGCGCTATGCTCCCTCTGGGGAATTAGTACCCTATTGCGTGTCTGGGTGCTGCTATTGGTGGTAAACCTCCCAGCCAGTAGGGCGGTCCACCACGGAGGGACAAAGGTTTGGGGGTGCGGTGCACAGAAGCAGGCCCCCCTTGCTCAGGCCGCTAACTGGTAGTGCTAAAAGGATTAGGCTGACTCTCCTTCTCTCTTCTTTTCTCCCCCACTGTCTCGGTACAAAGGAATGGTCTGAGTGTGCTTTTCACGTTTGCCTTGTGTAATAATTTAATCGTTTCCCTTGCAAAGTGCGGTCAGTGAAAACGTATAGAATGGTTTCAGTGTGCTCTTCATGTTTGTCTTGCGTAATGTTTATAGTTTGTTTCTCAAAGTGCACTGTTTTACCTCATCGATAGATATGTGACAATATATTTTCGTACTTGGTGACTTGCTCTAATCGACAGTATTTGTCTATGGCATTCCATATGTCCCATCTGCTTTTTTTTTAATCAGGATATGTGGAAGACACCGGTTCATGCGGCTCAAATAACGCCACAGCAGAGGCAAGAAAAAGAATGATAAAAAACAATGCTTTCTGTGCGCTTAACAATGCTTTCTGTGCTTTTCATGTTTGCGTTGTGTAGTTTTGTTGTTTGTTTCACAAAGTGTGCGCTCTTTTAGTTCATAGATATGTGAAAATCATTTCGTGAGTTGGTGAAACTCCGACGAAACAGTTTGCCACAGCCCCTGGTTTGTTGTCCTCTTCTCCCTCTCTGCCTGCGGTTTAGCGGGAAGCTCTGTTTGACTATATATACTATACTATATAGTATATAGTTTTATAGAATGGTTTCTTTTTTTGTCTTTTGTAATTTTCACTGTTTGTTTCGCAAAGTGTGCTCTGACAGTGCTTGTCCATGTCGTTCCATATGTCCCCTCTGCTGCTTTTTTGAATCCAGGATAAGTGGAAGACACTGGTTCATACGGCACAAATAGCGCCACAGCAGAGGCGGGGTGTGCCTGTCCCAGATGGTTTGCTAGAAAGAGTAACGCACGCCGCGGCGTTCTGGGGGGTACGTCAGCTCACCATGTAGAGGGAAGCTGCGGCTTTGTCGGTGTGGGTTGTGATATCAGAATGGGAGAGACTGAAGTAGGGAGGAGCACGATTTACGAGCGCTAGAGTGCCGGCGGAAGGAGAGGTGTGTGGCACATTCTACACTGAAGAAAGCTGTCTGGCGCGGGTTATGTCTTGCCTCGAGGCCGGTGAGATTATTACTTGAGCCTCCGGCATTCACTATGACCTCCTATGGCGACTAAGATCGCTTTCGTCTTTTTTACTTTGGCATTTTTTATGTTCACTGCATGCCCTTCGTCGTCAGAATCCAAAACTTTGTCCCCTTCTGTCCCCTCCCCCCCGCCTCCTGTCAGTGTTCAAACCCACGGTTAGTCACAGCAGTGCAAATGTGGCTGTTCAGCAATTGGCATTTCCAGAGCATTGTTAGAAACCGTTGTCAGATATAAATTGTCTTTTACGTTTAGTCGGCGCTTCCAGCATCCGTCTTGGCCTTCTCTTGCTGTCGCTTGGCTCTCTCCACTCCCATGGATGGATACACGAGCTTACGCATTCATTACGCGAAAAGAAATTCTTCATTTATTTTCCCATCGGTATTGACACCATTTGAGGTTTTCACAGTGTGCCATTATAAGTCTCCCATTTCATTCTTTCCGATGGGCTGTTTTTCACTCTGCTATTTTCCGACTCCTGACCATTCGTTGACGATTTGGAAGCACACATCCTAGTTGTTGATTGCAACGTGCCTCATCGCTTCCTTTCCGGCGTGGATCGATGGCAGTCTAGCTGGCCTCCTCTTCTTTCAGCTTGTGTTGTAGCGGTGCGTGAGCTATGGAACCTATAAGATGAGCAATAAGTTAGAAGAGAGGGTGATTTGCGTCGACTGTGTCGCTCAGTACGAACAGGACGTGTCCTCCCATCTGCGGATACTGTCGTCAGCATAAAGATTTGCATCCAGGTCACCCAAAGTTGTGCCGTCTTGATGTGCAGGTTGCTGCACGATCTTCTCATTTCCAATCCTGATAAGCCAAGTCTTATCAATCCGACACCCTGCTATCTTCTTGCTTTTTTTTTTTTTTCCTGTTTTCAGTCAGTGTTGGTTATTTGTTCTTAGTTCGCCTTTGGCATTCATGGCATCAGCGATTACAAAGGTGTGAGGCATTGGTGGTGGTTGAGGGCTGAAGGACTTCAGCTGCCGCCAGGGTCAGACGAGGCATTAGCCTCCTGGATAGTGGCAACAAGGCACTGCTTCCTCTTCTTGCAGATCATCACATGTTGTGGGCACAGCCCTGTCCTGCACTGCAGCACACACACACACACACACAGAGAGAGAGAGAGAGAGAGAGAGAGAGAGAGAGAGAGAGAGAGAGAGAGAGAGAGGGAAGGAAAAGTGGAACAAGGGTGGCATGGGATGAACGGCTTCCAATCGTGTTTAGTTTGGAGTGTAGTTGAGGTGACCGCTGGCTGTGAAGGTTAGGGAACGGAGGAGAGCGCAGAGTTGGGGGAGGGAATTGGGAGGAAGAGTTAGTTCGACTTAGTTGTGTTTTGGCGTTGTGCCCACAATGCTTTGTCCTGGGCTTCAAACACTGCAATCAGGTGCCTACTTTGTCAGCGGAAGAGGAGTGCAGTTGGTTTTCCATGCATATGTTTGCACGGCATTGACGTATAGGATCAAGTCAAGTTTTCGGGCTCTTCATTCTCATGTTATCTGCCAATAGCATTTGGAAAGCAATGATTTTCATCTGTTCAATAAAGCATTCTTCTTGAGTATTATGTCCATTGATTTCCCTTCTCTCTGGTGTTTGTCTTTGAAACACACACCCTTCCTCCCCTTGTCTCCATAGGCAGCGTGACCTAAGCCCTTCACTCCACGCAGCACCTGGTTTCCCTCAGATAGCGATGTCCCTCCTCTCTGATGTTTGTCGTCGAAACATACCCGCTTCCTCCCCATGTCTCCATATGCAGCGTGACTTAAACTCCCAAGCAGTACCTGGCCTCTCCTCCAATAGCATGCTTATGTTTATATAAACTGCCTGCCATCCCTCTGCTTGTCTGTCTGCCACCTGGCTTCAATCAAACCACCACATTTTAGGTGTCAACCAGAACACCTGGGGCGAACAAATCATTATTAATTGAACCTTTCCGAGGCTGTTCTGCTACCCCCATCTCTGGGCAGGAGAAGTCGTGGTCCGGTGGTTGTGATGTGGGAGTTGTGGGACTGCAAATGACTCGGTGAGGTGACGAATACCTTCCACCCCTTTGCATAATCTGCATCCTTGTAGGTTTGCTCTTGCGATTGCTTTGCTCTTGCTCTCTGTGTGCTCTTGCTATTGGTTTGCTCTTGCTATTCGTTTGCTCGTGCTATTGGTTTGCTCTTGCTAGTGACTGCAAATGACTCGGTGAGGTGACGAATACCTTCCACTCCTTTGCATAAATCTGCATCCTTGTACGTTTGCTCGCTCTTGCTTTGCTCTTGCTCTTCGTTTGCCCTTGCTATTGGTTTGCTCTTGCTATTGGTTTGCTCTTGCTATTGGTTTGGTCTTGCTATTGACTGCAAATGACGTGATGAATACCTTCTACCCCCTTTGCATAATCTGCATCTTTGTAGGTTTGCTCTTGGTAGTGAATTGCTCTTGCCTTTGGTTTGCTCTTGCTATTAGTTTGCTCCTGCTATTGGTTTGCTCTTTTTATAGTTGCATACATGGTCACCAGCCCGTACGTATGGAGGTCCCCGAACCGACCTCCGTACGTACGGGCATTCGGCCCCCGCCAAAAATTATTTCGGGGCCTAAAAGTAAGTTTTTTTTTTCTGAATTGTTTTTGGTGAGTTCGCTATGATGTGAGGTACATGCCCATAAATTTTGAAAGTCATTTTGCTAAGCCAAACAAAAATTAAAAATTGGCGGTGTCAAAACGTGCTCGCCCACTCGCTATTTTGTTTTTTATTTCACTTTTTACTTTCTGTTTTCACTCTATTGCGGGGCTTAAAAAAAAATATCGTCCTTTGGGACATCCGTTAAAACTTAAAATTGGAACGATTAGCATGGCCCCTGCGTATGGATGATACGCATAAATCGAGAAATGGTCCAAAAAATATATATATATATAAAATCAGTTTTTGAAACTTTTTTAACGAGTTTTGTATTATGTGAAGTACACATCTGTTTATTGTTGAAATATAAGCCTTGGGCACTGGGCCCGCGATTCTTGAAAAAAAAAAAAAAAAAAAAAAGGTACACATCTGTGAACTTTCAGGGCATTTGGCTGTGCCAAAAAAAAAAAAGTGCCAAAAAAAAAAAAAGAAGAAAAAGCCAAACATGGCGGTGTCGAAAACGAATTCTTTTTTCATTTTTTCTTATTTCTTTTATTACTTTTATTTTCTGTATTTTATTTTTATTTCAAATTTGGTAAGGAATTTGGATGTAATGCTCAGGCAAATGTTGTTTATTTTATTTTTCTTCATAACATATCGTTTTTTCAGTTCTTGTTTGTTCTTTTTTTTTTTTTCCTTTTTCGTCCCGAACGGCCGAACGCATCCCCAAGGGGTCCCGTACGTTTGGGCGTTCAGGTTCGGGCGTTCGCCCCGTCCCGAACGCCGTTTACCCTGATTGCATACATGTTTGCTCTTCTCTTGCTATTGGAGCTGTAATGATGTAATCCACAAGAGTTCTACGACTGTGATCAGCTCTCCATGACTTCACCGGCGGCGGCTGTATGTATCCTCAGAATAGAATCAGTTTGCAACTGTGCAGTTTGCAACTTTGCACACTCTAATCTGATGAATGTCTGGCATTTTTTTGTGCCTTGAGGCTCAAGTCTTTCAGAGTTGGACTTCTGGACTGAGAGCCTAGCTCAGGTGGTGGTACACCGATGAACTTCTGGAATACAGATGGGAGTTGGGAGTTGGGAGTCTTTCAGAGTTTCAGAGTTGGACTTCTGCAACCTGAGGTCGAACCCAGATGCAATCGCGTGAACAGAGTGAGGTCTGACTTTTGAGAGTTGGGAGTCTAGTTCAAACCTAGGCTACCAGCCGGGCCGCCCGGGTTCCGGTGGCCAGCCCGTGCAAGGACCAGGGAAGGTCCCAAAAAAAAAAAAAAAAAAAAAAAAAAAAAAAAAAAAAAAAATCCGAAAAAAAAACTATGTTATGCAGAAAAATAAAGTGAACAACTTTTGCCTCAGGGTCACATCGAATTTCTGTACGAAATTTAGAAAAAAATAACAAGTTTTAAAAATAATTTTTTTATTTTTATTTATTTTTATTGTTTTTGGCCCGGCCGGGCAAGTGACCCCGGGCCACTCTGGTAGCCTAGGTTCGAACGTCAAAACAAAGCGTACACTGTACGGTTGCCTGCCATAAGGCATGTCCATTGGCCCCACCAGTGCGGTGCAAACTGAGAGATCAGGACTTGAGACGATGGGCCTGACTTGCACCAACCAAGACTTAGGACCAGTCTGCTGTCTGTTACATAAGGTTTGTTGAAACCTGCGAGTGTTCAATAAGGCTACAATTTTACTCTGACCCATGAAGCCGGAGAACCACTACGTACTTCAAAAACGCACACATATTTGACTCTGACCAAGCACAAAAAGAAGACTACACCAGGTCACCACTAGGGCGTGGTACTTGGTGGAGTGGGTGATATTATGTGGCCTGGGTGATATTATATGGGTTGAGTGTCGCCGTCTGGAGTGGGTGATCTGACTGTGGGTTCTTATAAGGGGTGGGGATTGTACAATTTGGCCTGCATGGTACTCTGTGGCCTCGGCGGTACAGTACAGAAGGAGAACCAACAAGAATTTCCCCCGGAAAGAGAGAACTCCAACATCCTTGGGGTGGGGTGTTGGAAGCCCTATTCGCTTTGGACTTGGCTCGTTTTGTTTCGCTTTAAAGATCTGCACCTAGCTTATTTTCCTGTCTTTCTTCATGACAGGAAATGAGAGAGAATTTGTCAATATCTGCTCCTAGGGATGAGGTACACGACGAAAATGAGCGAGAATTTGTGAAGATCTTCACCTAGCTGTCGTTTCGCTTTGCCTCTGCACATCTTTACAAATTCTTTCTCATTTTCATCATGTACCTTATCCGTCTGGTCCCTTGAGGCATCATATTACTGTCCAGATGCCCTGCACTTCCTGGCTCGACTAGGATTGCAGGAGGCGAAGCAACGAGCTTATCTCAGTTGGTACAGCCATGAACGGTTGACGTACAGACCCAAGTTCGAATCCTGATGAAACTACAGTCTTCCCGCGAATACAATGCACGGTCATTATAGCTGAATTTGGACCATCTTTCAGTCTAAATTCGGCTATAATGACCGTACGTTGTATTCGGGGGAAGACTGTAGATGAGTGGAATCGATTTCCATCCAATACTTCTGAATTACCTGCGGCCGGTCACTTCGATGAATGGAGGCATCGTAATAATGTCCAGATGCCCTACATTCCCGGCTCGACTTGGATTGCAGGAGACGAACCAACGAGCTTAGCTCAGTTGGTACAGCCACGAACTGTTGACATACAGACCCAAGTTTGAATCCCGATGAAACTAGATGAGTGGAATCGATTTCCATCCGATACTTCTGAATTACCTGCGGCCGGTCACTTTGATGAATGGTATCTCAAGGCCGTCCCCCTTAAACGGGGTAAAAAAGGATTGTAGAATGACATGGCATTTTATTTTAGGTGAAGACGGTAGATCTCACTAGATTTTCGAAAAGCCTATTACAAGGTTAGATGGTTAGATGGCAATTCCTGGCTAGGGTAAAAAATGAATGGCTAGGGTAAAAAATGAACAGGCTTCGGTAAAAAATGCGTTCAGAGCGGTAATTACTAATTTTACACTTGTGCTGCTGTGCGCTTCAACTGCGGCGGTTCAAGTCGATGGTCACCGACGCTCTGAATCGGCCGAGGTGTTGAGATCAGTTAGGCAAGGGTGGGCAATGGGCCTGACCCTGTACGTCATGTACGTCGAGCACCTCGAGTTCTCGACAAGATGATTAGCGCCAGCTAGAAAATCAGTGGGGTTGTCTTCAATTCTTCGGAGATGGAATCGAGTGTACTGCTTTTGTGGAAGATACAGTGGCGGTCATTGCGAAGTTTGAACATTATGAATTAGTATGAATCTATTAGGCGGCGGAGGAAGTGGGTGTTACACAAACAAAGGAGATAGCCACTGAAGTCATTAGGAGAATGCAGAGGTGGGGGAAATGCTCTCTCGCGGGCGTCAAGGGCAAAGTTTTTTTTGTTTTTGTTTTTGTTTTTTTTGACCTGTTAAACCACCAGTACTTGGCCCTGCTATCGGCCGCGGTGCTTTTCCGTTAACGCGCCGCGCCCTTAGGGCTTCGGGGTACCGGACCTCAATGGCTGGAACCGCCAGCCAAAACAATTTCGAAACGGTGCCTCGGCGCTTCGGCGGAAATCGGCGCGCAGGGGCATTCCAGGCTCGGCATAGATAGCTGGGCCAAGTACTGGTGGTTTAATAACGCCACCCTCTCAGTATCGCGGTATGTGGCAGCCGTGTATATGCCTCGAAGGCGAACCTTTGGATTTCTCGGAATCACGGAGGCAACATTTTTGTGGTCAGGGAGATTGACTGGGGAGGAAGGCATCGCCACAGTGGGCCGGTCCAAGCTGAATACAGCCCAAATGAGATGGTGGCTTAAGACTTTACGTATTATGAACCCAAGAACCTAGGCTTCTGCATCGCAAGCAGAGCACACGCAGAGATATCTGGCTGCGGACTCCAGAGATCAGGCACAACAGCACTGGTTATGAGTGAATTGCAGTCACCTTAAGAACTCCACTGCATATGGTGTCGTATTGCCTGCTTAAAAGTAAACGACTTAGTCCTGACTGCTCTCAAGAAGCAAACAGTGTGGGCCGCGATATTAACGAACTGGAGGGAACTGAACCCACGGATACGAAACCTAAGACGGGAACAGATTTCCTTTTTTTTTTTTCTTTTTTTTTTTTTGTTACAACAGCCCGAGACGGTGCTAGGAGTGCTGATAAGAGCAGCAGCCACCGCTCGATCAACAATCTAATCGAAAATCGGCAATCCGAGATGTGGACAGCGAGCCCATTCTCATGGCCCAGTAGATGAGGAGTTTTTGGCTGTTGATGGCTGAGATGCGGAATCAGCACGATAAGTCAGTTATGGGACAGAAGTTACAGAACCGCAGGCGGTTGGAAGGAGGGAGAGGATGTGTTGTTAACACCACGGCACCAAGTGGCGAAGAACCAGAGGCTGCACGCCATTGTTGCAGCCATCTCAAAGGAATGGGTGTAGGAGATACGCATGAATAGGAGAACAGGTGAATGGGGGAGGATGGACCTCGATCCTTGCACGGGACAGGAAGAATTGATTTGTGGACTGTGCGATCGGTCACGTCACGCGGATTGAAGAGGAGGCAAGCGAGAGGTGGTTGATAGGGGAAAGCTTGCAGGTGATCGGCACAGGACATGCCCTGAGCCCTGGGATGACACCCCTACAACCTTCCAACTAGAGTAAGGGAGGAACAATTCACGCCGGTTCTGATGGAAAGAGAAGTTCTGGTTGGAGGAGTAAAACTTTTTTTTTTTTTTGATGGAGGAGTAAAACTTAACAGGCACTGGAGGGGGTTGTTTTGTAAAAAATAAAAATAAAAAAATCAGGCCGTATAAAACCGAGAAGTGACAGGGGTACTTTCCAGAAACAGGCTGGTCGCCTGTCGATAAGAGTGCACCTCGCAGTTGCAACAATGGAATGACAGTCGACAAAATCTCAGTATCATGACGCTAAATGTCGGACGCGCTTTCGGGAGGAAGAAACAATCTGCATTTGTTCGTGCAGTGCAAATATATTGTTCGCTTTTTGGGAACGGTGGGAGCAAGAGATGACAAGCCTTACCCTGCTTACTAAAGACCTGCTTGCACCGCAGGGCATCCTTTTCAGGCCCATTAGAGAGAAAAAAGAGAGCAGACAACAATAAAGTGATCGCCAGCTCAACTGGTGGAATGCCTTCAAAACCGGTTCACTGGAGTAAGATAGAGGAAAGTGGAATTTCTAGTGTAGAGATGAAATTCATAGATATTAGATTTAGAAGGAACACCAAAAGCGAAGGCAGCTTTCTGGGTCTCTACTGACGCTGTGGTGCGAAAGCATGGGGAGCAAACAGGCAGTATGCCAGGGAATCCAGGTTACGAGATGTGTGGTGGTGAGAGGAGGCAGCGATAGCAACCATAAGAGTGGCGGTGAAGGCTGCACTCAGACACGCCAGTGCAGCCTGTGTTCAAAGAAGACACCTCCAGCCACAGAGCTTATTGACGGAAAGCTCCCTGTTTTTTAGAGCGTGGAAACTGTTCCTAGCATTGCATTGGTTAACTTGGAAGCTTGCAAAGGCACGTTGGAATCCTGCTGAGCTATGAAACAGAGCTAATACAAAACAGAATCTTCTGCATAGGAGAGCGAAGGCCGCTCGTCATAGGTGTCGCAAGGCAACGGGAATCAGAATGGAAAACAATAAGCGAGTCGGGACTAGAACGATTATTAGACTAACAGGGGAAGAGAACCAACTGGAGAGTAGGGAGTGGGTTGGATTGGGGTGAAAGCGAGATATGGCCACAAGGAGTTGGCGGATGATAATCGAGAATGAGCAGCTTAGACCGCAATGGCAGAGATTTAGTGTAAGATAATGTACGTGCAACGAATACATTAGTTAGCGAGATAATACGGCTACGAATGATAGGATGTGAATGGGGTTGTAGTACCATTGTACAATAGCATTGGTCTTTTTTGGGCAGGATATGCAGGGTATAACTTGGGTACAGTGAGTGTCGGGCTGGGGTCTATGGGATCTCCTTGGTTGACTCAGAGGCGTTGCTTTCGGATATCATCTCAAATGTTTACGGAGCAAAGGTACTGATAGATGATGTTATGGGTTCGAGATGGTGCAAAGTGGTAGAGTTCGGAATGACATGCTGAATACATAATGACAGATTTTTATGATATGAATATTGTGATGAATTTGTGGAGGGTCGGGTTATGGGACGTCAATTAAAGATAATAACTTTAAAAGAAGTAGGGTGGATGTCGTATTCGAATTGCAAGGGTTTTTCGTTGAACCATAGTAAATTGATGTGGCCGCCGCATGAAGTGTGGCAGAGTTCAGGAGGGAAGAGCAACGTTCGAATATAGAGGTGGCTGATGATCGTGGCTCAGATTTCCCCTGAACATGTGGGTGTGCTGGGCGTCTCCTGGCTAGAGAAATCCGAGCACATAAATGGTGAACTGTCCCCTTTTATAGGAGAATAAGGGCTCGCTGCCCTGGGGGTCTAGTGGGCATGCAAAGCTGCCTTTCTCATCGTCTAACTCATGCTTGTCAGTGATAAGTAGCTGAATTGTCGGGCCCCAAAATAGATGGGGCTCGAGTGAGTGTTTGTGTTAAAAAAAAAAAAAAGAAGTTATAAATTTTTCCCAATCATCTTTGTCTTTGAGTGGCAACTTTAGTCGTAGTAATAATGCTTCCTCGGGGCATTTTGTTTGATTCCTCTTGAAGAAGAAAGACATTGACCCTAGGGGGTACTTCTGCCACTTCCTCCTCATCCCAATTGCCTCTATGAAGGTGGTTATCCATCGTTTGTGGGAAACTTTTGTGCGATGAAATCATGAATTTAACATTATATGTTATCCATCGATTGCAATGGAATACACTCGTTGGTACTTACGTATTGCTTCCAACACTGAAGTTGAATCCATTGTTGACACAAATTTTATTCCCGTAACATAATGTTTGAGAACTCTTAGGAAGTGAATTATAACAAGCAACTCCTTTTTGCACTAAGTGTAGCCTTGTGTGTTGTCTATTCTTCTGCTCTCTAATCTTAAAAGTCTCTCTTTACCGCTTTCATCCTCTTCTGTTTATACACCGCCAAGTGCTACTGGTCCTCCATTTGCTTCAATAGTAAAAGGTTCTTTGGCTTTGTTATCAAAATAGGGTGTGTGTTTGCGAAATCTATCTTTAATTTTTCAACATCACATGTAAAATACTTGGCGTCTCTACGTTTCTTGTCATCTGAGTGAACCCCTTATCTCTCTCTTGAAGAGGTTTTGCTATGGTGGCAAGCCTGGGAATAAATGTCCTTGAAGAACGGCACACCCTGTAACGCTAGAAGCAACAATTATATATTTTAAAATTACGTTACCGGATCGGACGTCCGCACCCCCCCTTGACCGTCCTGTACTGTTCGATCGGACAACCGGTCGGTCGTCCACCTGGGCCCCTCGGTCCAATCGGTGGGGAAAATAGGTGGGCACTTCCATGAGGAATCGGGCGTCGTGAGGTTGGGAAGCGGCCAGGGGCGAAGGGGGGGGACCGAATGAATTTTTTTTTTAGGCCGGTGGGGCCCCGAAAACTGCAGATGAAAATGGCCCGATCCGGGTCGTCGACTCGTCGAGATTAACGCCCTGGATTGGGCCGAAGTCAAATTTGAATTCCGAGGCATTGCAGCTTTCTCGCGTGCTCGACTTGGTCCTGCCCCGTCGGCGGAGTTCGACGTTGTAGTTGTCGGACTCCAACGCCCAGCGGTTGCAACCCACTCGCCATCGTCTGCCTGTGCAAGATGAGTTTCCTTTCCTCCGTCCTCCACCTCCTCCTCCTCCTCGTCCTCCTCCTCTTCCACCTTTTGGTTCTCCTCTCGTCCTCCTGCAAATCCTCCCGTCTTCCTCCTCCTCCTTTTGTTCCTCATTCTCCTCCTTTTCTTCCTCCTCCTCGTCCTTGTGCTTCTCGTCCTCCTCCTACTCCTCCTAGTCCTTTGTGGGATCCTCGTCGTCCTCGTTATCTACTCAGGTGTTTTATTATATCAGATACAGGTGCTTCCATCGTATTATTGGTTTTCCAAGATTGATAAATGCAGACAAGAATTTAACTTTATCGCCAAGCTCTAGCTTTGCGGACAAATATCATGTACCAAGTTACAAATCTGTTTGGCCAAACAATAAGGTCCATTCACACCGAGCACGTAGATGGCGAGCCTAGGCCGATCAGAGATGGGTTGCACAGAGGTCGCTTTCTTTATCATGTTAAACAGCGCCCGAGCATACCACTCCCGATAGATAAGGAGGCCTTTCTTAACTTAAGAGAACGATGGTCGTTTCCCCAACCTGAAATCAACGGAGCCAAAGCGCTGATGAGTCTGTGTGCAGCGAACCTTTGTGAGATTGTATTACAAAACGAGTTTGCGAAAGAAGTGTTTCCTCTTATTTCTTGGACGGAGCAACTCTATTGATGAGCCCATGGACATGGTTTTCATGGACTTAGTTTTCACGGTAAGAAATACAGAGACATTTGGGTTTTGTATGACTCTTACATGTCCAAGGCCACGAAGTGACAACGGCGCCAGTTCAATCTCATTCGATTGAGTTGGATAAAAAAGAGTTGCAAACACGAAGTGGTTTGTTCCACCATGAGTCCATTTGATGGTGACGTAGTTTACTAGAGACTTAGGTTACATAAACATTTGAATAAATTCCACACCATAAGAAAGAGCAAATATGAATATAGATTACGAGAAGAGTCAGATGAGGCGAAAGTCTCACGAATGGTTTGGAAGCCGAGCCATATCAGCAGTGAGATGGTTTAGGTTAACAATCGTTTTTTCGGTCTTCATTACTTACTTTTATAATTGCAGGTGCTAGTTTTCATCATATTGCTGCTTTACATCAATATGGTTCCAATAATCCATTGGGCATAAACGTTTCTATAGATAAAATAACTTTTTACCCCTATTTTTACAGTGCGCCGTCTCACAACCAATTTTGATGGGTTTTCAATTCTCAATCAAAGCCTAACCGTAGTCCCGGTCCTTTCTCTCCTCCTCGTCGTCCTCTTCTTCTTCCTCGTCCTCCTCTTCTTCTTTTTCCTCCTCCTCCTCGTCCTCCTCCTCTTCGTTTTCCTCTTCCTCATCTTCCTCCTCCTCCTCCTCCTCTTCCTCTTCCTCCCCGTCCTCCCCGTCCTCGTCGTCCCGGTCCTTTCTCTCCTCCTCCTCATCCACCTCTTCTTCTTCCTCGTCCTCCTCTTTTTCCTCCTCCTCCTCCTCCTCGTCCTTCATCTCCTCTGCTTCTTTCTCCTCCTCTTTCTCCTCCTCCTTCTCCTCCTCTGCCTCCCCCCACCTGTGTCCTCCTCCTCCTCGCCCTCCTCCTCCTCATCCTTCTCCTCCTCCTCCGTCGCCTCCCCCCATCTCCTTCTACCTCGGTGTCCTCCTCCTCCTCCTCGCCCTCCTCCTTCTCCTCGTCCTTCTCCTCCTCCTCCTCCTCCTCTTCCTCGCCCTCCTCCTCCTCCTCCTCCTCCTCCTCCTCCTCCTCCTCTTCCCAATCCTCCTCCTCGTCCTTCTCTTTCTCTTTACCCCTGTCGTCCTCGTCTTCCTCCTCCTCCTCCTCCACTTCCTCTTCTTCTTTGGATTTGGGCGGCGGCGTATACCTCGTTGTCCCTCAAGTCGTCACCATCGCCCTCCTCCTCCTCCTCCCTACTCCTAATTTCCCCTCCCATTCCTCTTTTTTTTTTTTTTTTTTNCCCCCCCCCCAAAAAAAAAATCAGCTCCCAGGAACCAACGGGCCTAGCTCAGTTGGTACACCCAGAAACTGCACAAATACTGACCCAAGTTCGAACCCAGATACGATCAGACGACCAGAATAAAAAATAACTCTGAATTACCTGCAGCCGGTCGGTTCGATCAACTTTTTTTTCCGTTTTTTTTTTTCTTTTTTTTTTTTCTTTTTTTTTTGGTTCAATCAGCTTCAATGATATGACATCTCGAGGCCGTCGCCCTTTTAACAAACAAACGAAGAAAAAACAGTCCCCATGACGGATCGATTTACACCCAAACATTCCATCTGTCCACTAACAGATTGTGGTCACAGTGGCTGTCTGTCCAGCACACATTTCAATCGAAGCACCGACACCGAGTCCATGTAGCTGTCACAGTGGCTGCCTGTGTGCGCACATATTAATCAAGGCACCGGCACCCAGCCCATGTGGCTATCACAGTGGCTGACACATTTTTATGGAGGCAGCGGCAGCACCCAGCCCGTGTGGCTAAATTGTACACACACAAGCAGGTCGCGAGATCAAACCCCTGTCTCTTATACACATCTAGATGTGTATAAGAGACAGGATCTTAACTTTGATTGATTAATTGATTGATTTGATTGATTGATGGATGGATGGATGGATTGATTACAAATAATCTATCAATCAATATCAATCATTCTCATCGAATCGAATCGACTGATTCGACAGTATCTTGGTTGATATCACGATCTTGTTGAATCAATCGATTTGATGGGATCGTCATTATTGATTGATGGATGGATTAATCAATCAATCAATCAATCATTCCCATCGGATCGATTCATTCGATAGGATTTGGGTTGATATCAAGATCCTGTTGAAGCAATCGATTCGATGGGATCAACATTATTGATTGATTGATTGATGAAAAAAAAAGCGTGGGGGGGGTTGATGTGACTGTGTGGTGATGGTGGAGGAGAGACCCGCTCCCGATCCTCCTCCTCCTCCTCTTTTCTTTACTCTTCCCCATCCTCCTCCTCCGCCTCGTCCTCCTCCCCCACGTTTTCTTATTTTACCTTGTCCATCTCGTCGTCGTTGTCCTCCTTCGTCTCCTCCTTCCCCTCCACTTTGTCCATCACCATGGCACCCTCTTTGTCATCGTCGTCCTCCTCCTGGTCCTACTCCTCTTCCTCTTCCCTATCCTCCTCCTCCTCTTCTCCCTCCTCATCCTCGTCTTCCTTTTCGCCCTCCTGCGCCTCATCCTCCCTCCCCTCGTCTTCTTCTTCTACCTCCTTGTCCTCCTACGCCTCCTCCTCCTCCTCCCCTTTGTCCATCGCCATGGGACCCTCTTCGTCATCGTCGTTATTCCCCTTTTTTTCCTCCTCGTCGGTGTCATCATTGTCATCCTTGATCATCGCTGTGGCCGCCGCCTCCTCCTCCTAATTCCCCCTCCGCTCCCCCGCTTTTCGTTATCCAATTCTCCTATGCCACGTCCTCCCTCACTGCTGCAGCCGTATCGCCATCCCCACGTTCTCGCTATGGTTGTCGATGTGATAATGTCCCCTCCCCTCTCTGCTTTGTTTCTTCCCACAATCAATCAATCAATCAATCAATAAATAAATTGATCAATCAATCGATATAATCAATCAATCAATCAATCAATGGAAATCCTGCTGACTCGATTGATTCAATAGGATGTTGAGATCAAGATCCTATCGAATCAGTTGATTCAACGGGATCCCAACTCATTGATTGATTGATTATCTTGATTGATTGGTCAATTGATTGATTTATTGATTGATTGATTGTGGGATAAAACAAGCACAGAGGGGAGGGGACATTGATTGATTGCATTTATGGGTTGACAATGATTGACTGATCGATTAAAAAAAAAAAAAAAAATGTCGGGGGGGGGTTGAGGTTACGGCGCGGTGATGGCGGAGGTTCGGCCCGCTCCGCATCCTCCTCCTCCTCCTCCTCTTCTTCCTCCACAGTGTCTAGCTCACCTCTTCCTCCTCCTTCTCGTACTCATCCTCGCCGTGGCTATTCCCTGCGTCGCCCTTTTGGGCACTGTGGCCGTCTTCCTTCTCCTACTACTTTTCTTCTTCTTCCTCAACCTCCTCGTCCTCCACGTTGCCCTCGTCGTCTTTGCCCATTGCTGCTGTCCTCCGGTCATCCTTCCCCCGCCTTATCCTCCTCCTCCTCTTCATCTTCGTCATTCCTTTCATGTTATACCGCGTCCTCACTAGCCGCTGCACTCGCGTGGACATCCCCACGTTCTCGCCACGGCTGTCGACGCAATAATGCCCCCTCTCCTCTGCTTTTTTTCTCCTGCACTCGATCAATCAATACAATCAATCAATCAATCGGGATCCCATCAAATCAATTAATTTGATAGGATCTTGATCAATATCCTATCGGATCAATCAGTTAAAGGGGATCCCAATTGATTGATTGATTGAGTTGGAAAAAAAGAAAAACGTGCCGAGGGTTGGTTGCGGGCTGAGAGGAGTGGGGGGAGGCCGAGGTCACCGCGCGATGATGGTGCAGCAACGGTCCACACATTGCGTCAGACGACGCAGCAACAGTCGCTGCATGTGCAGCAGTTGCTGATTGCAGCAGCAGACCCTCCATTTGAAACCCCCAAGCAATCCATTCCCCCTATATCCCACCATTACACGTCGCACACTGTTTTTGAATTTATTTATTTGCTCAAAACAACTTGAAATTGTTTTTGGGGAGCCACTAGTGGTGCGCGGACCCCCTTCGTTTTTTTTTTTTTTGTTTTTTTTTTCAGCCAAAGAAAACGTTGTTCGGGATCCTGGAGAACTCCGCCCTGACCATCTTCCGGAGACGAATAGACAACTGGCAGCCTAGTTAGGTAATTGTATTTTTACTCTTTTACAATTTTGTCGATTTTCCTAGAACGCGGGGATTTCCCTACATAGGAAAATCTTAATCGAAATAGTATTTAGATAAGAAGGGATTCAGGTCCACTGGTGGTCATGTTATACTTGACTTGGTCATTCCTTGTGCATTCTCCTTCACAAAGTTACGAACTTTTGCCTCCAATTTTGTATTATTGTCTTTAATAGGTCGTTTTACAGGGCTATCATCCATTTAAGGGTTGGTGGTTTTTTATGAAATGTCCTGCATGACTTTTATTATATCTCGTTGAATAACTGTAACCTCAATTGTCAAGCTTTGGGGCACTGTGTATATTTGGATCAGTCCGCGCGGCCTATGCATGACAATGATCAGTCTACTGCTAAGATCGATTGGACTAGTAGATCAATAAAAGAATACCTTCAAGCGAACAACTCCCACATAGCAGATCGACAATTTTTTTTTTTTTTTACATTTTTAATTGTGACCGAATCGAGTTTTTGAATCCATCTTAGAACACTCGTAGCTTTGAAGAACAACACCAATGACGGGCATGGGGACCATCAACAGGTTTTGGAACATCGGAATGTATTTTGCAGTTCAAATATTAAATTGTTTTATCTCTTCTATTTGCAGGTTGATCATTCCTTCAACGTCGATATCTTTGTCATTTTTATTGTATTTATGTCCAATCTTTCACATTCCTTACCGTTGAAAGAGAAACCTACACTATGATTTTGCCACAATTTTGAAAATAAATGATCTCATACGCCTTAAAAAAAATGTTTTTTTTTTTTTTTTTCATTAATGCATACCTTTCTGTATTTTTTTCCCTCTTTTCCTTGTTCCTGTTTTTGGTGCATTTACTATTATTTTATTTTCGCCTCTCTACAATTTTTCTCCACCAATCACAAAACTGGATTTTTCTTGACACCTACCTCTTTGAGTCAGTGACTATCCTCTTAGAAAAGGTCTTACTGCTAAAAAATAGTTTCATCACCTACCTTATTCAATAGCTTCAACAACATTCTTGATTTTCTTTGTTATCAATTTCATCTCCTACCTTATTCAATAGCTTCAACATCATTCTAATGTTGTACACCTTCATTGTATTTGTTTTATCTCGTGACTAAATATGCAAACCACTAAGATCAATACCATTTTTGTTGCAACTCACATTTGTTAGATAATGTCCTCTGAGGGTCTTGCAACAAGGTCGAAGTGTCATGATGAGGACGGCAAAAGGTGTAAGTTTTCATTTATGAAGGAAAAGGATTTCTGATATGTAGGGATGGTTAAATTATCTCGCTGCTTCTGAACTTTGAAGCCTTGTCGATAAGAAATTCATCCTTATAAGCAAATGGTCAATAATTTTTTTAACTTTTTAGGAGTGACACTTTTATGATGTTGGTCTGATAATGTTTTCATTTTTTTTTTTCTTCCGAACCACATGCATCTAATATTCTTGAAGAGAAAAATGCCATCTATACCGTTGAGTGACTTGAGTCTACTAACACTCAGAACTTGATATAATCTTTACCCCCTTGATCTTCCAGTGATGAATGCAACCCAGTTAGCTCTATTACACTATCGTGAATAGCGGTGATGAGAGGAAAAGCAAACGGGGTTACCATCGAGAGGATCATGAGTAGGATGTGTGGTTAGTGTTGCGCAACTAACGCGGGAATCTATGTTGAAGTCCCTTTTCCGATTCTCACTTTGTATTGTCGACATCTTAGGTATGGTATTTTTCAAAATCAGGAGATTAGCACGTGAATCCCCGTTTAAGTTCTTTTCCTAATTCTCACCTTGTATTGTCGAGGTCATAAGTATGGTATTTTTTAAAATCAGGATATTTTGTCTTCTTAGAAAGGGAAGGTTTGTGAAATGTGGTCCCCAAAGTAGAAAGAGGGAGTGTAGTATGAGGGTAAAGCCATGGTCCAGAGTCTTAGGCCCGTCGACTCAACATGGGGAGGCTGCCGACATCCCTTGCAGGAGGCACTCGCCACAAAGTCTCCCAAGTGATGACTCGATTAGTACGAAGAATGCCACATGTGAGTGTGTTCTGGGCGACTGCCCTAGACACCGAGCACAACAGGACTAGGCAGTACAGCAAAGATGGAGGCACAACACAAGCGGTTATCGGGTAGCTGAAAATTCAGGAATGAAAATTATGAAGTGAGAGTTTTGGGCAGTCTGAACATCCTGAATGGTCCTGAAGTGGTGAAAGGTCCGAAGACCCTAAAAACCACTTGTTTAGGCAAGATGTATCCTAAAGTGGTAACGGGTGTCCTGAAGTGGTCAAGTGAGAGTTTTGGGCAGTCTGAAAATCATGAATGGTCCTGAAGTGGTGAAAGGTCTGAAAACCATGAATACCACCCTTCACCACTTGAGGATGCAGCCTGCCTAAACAGGTGGTTTTCAGGGTCTTCGGAGCTTTCACCACTTCAGGACCATTGATGATTTTCATATCTGAATGATACTGAACTGGTGAAAGGTCTGAAGACGCTGAAAACCACCTGTTTAGGCAGGCTGAAGTGGTGGAGGGTGTCCTGAAGTGGTGATGAAAAATACGACTGTTGTTAACCTTCTCTCAGGCACAACCCACCTTCTCACGGGGCCCCGCGAGCAACATGGCAAGTGGAGGAGGAGAGTGGAACTGGGTGAGCAATTTTCACCAAACTAAGAGCTCGGATAACTCGACCCCCCCCTGTTCACCTGGATTAACTTGTTTTCCCGGGATAGTTCCTACAAGTTAAACGTGATCTATCACCCTTAAACTAAGATTTTCATGCTCCCCTTTACTGTTTAATTAGGAGAAGGGCATCTGCTGAACCATTTATCCCTTGAACTAAAGATAGCAAATAGCTTGCCTGGGCTTACCTGTTAGGAGTGAAACTTCTTTCCTTTCTGTTCGGTTGGGAGAAGGGTGTAACCTCGACTGAAGGGGAGGGTTGAAGAAATCAAAAAAAGAAAAAACTGGTCACTTGACCCCAGATTACTGTAAACAAAGTCAGACGCTACAACAGGGCCGGATCAAAAGAATACAAAAGAACTCAATAGTAACCAGTATGACAACAAACAAAAGAAACAGGAGGGTGGGCCGCACAAATTTATTATTAAGGGGCAATGCACCACTTGGCCAGGGGAAGAAATTCTAAAGGTTTGGATGGCCAACACTTCCAAGATGTGGTCATGGTAGAGCCTCCCCCCGTGAAAGGGACTTCAGGGGTTGGGGAGCAAGGCACACGGGTCCCATCAACAGAGCTCCTTAAGGAGATGTAGGCAACCAAGGTGAGGATAGAGGCGCAAGCATCACCAGCTTCTACCTCTTCATCCTGAGCGACCAAAACAAAGTGCCTATACAGTAGGGAATCCCTGGCAATCCGCAGAGGAGAGGAGGGAGGAATAGATCAAACCTGGCAGATCCCCTTGGACAATCTCATGACTACGAGCACCTTCTTCCTTTCTAAGTTTCTGACTAAGATCGAGGATCGCTTGATTAATCAAGGGGGGGGGGGGGAATAACAAGTCAAAACACTACCTAACACTCAAATTGCAGAACGGAACGGGAGCAATTGGGTGTTTCACGATGACGCTATGTATAAATCCTCCAATGACAAGATTGGCTGGATACGAAAAAGGCTCGCAGTGCTTAAACGCAGAGAGGATGGGGCACACATTTTTTTCCTGATGCAGCCAGTCTTGTCATCGGTCTTCACAGTCGTTAGTGTGTTCGATGCCGACAAGAGGATGATGGATTCCTGGCGTAGGGTACGTTGCGGACGATCTGAGGTTCGTATCCACCCATGGTCCCCCCAACGTTAGCAAAGTAGAGAGGAAAAGAGAGAGCAGCTCATGTCTAACTACTTTTGGGTGGAGTATCGTCACATCCCAATTGCAATCCAATCTGCGTTTGCCCAAGACCTTGTGTAGATCCCCTGCCTTGACACGTGGCTCCACGGGACGACCACTTGATGGTGGCCTTGGACATACCCAAGGATCACATTTGTCAGATAAACGATGTAATTCCGTTCAGAATTGGGGGCAAGGATTTCAAAATCCACACAGCCGATAAGCGACGTCCTTGGTGCTTCAAATGTCAACAGTAAGGACACAGTGCCTCGGAAGCCGAATGTCCACACCACCCCGGTAGATGCATAAAAGCCACGGGCCATCTTCTTCAAGACCCATCCAAACCACACGTTGGCGAACGATGGACCCGGGCCACGAAGGTTGGGTATACGTTGAAAAAATCAAGGAAGGGGGGGAAGTTAGAGGGTGGGAATGGAAAAAAAAAGGAAGTGGTGAACTTGGATAGTAGGCAGCCGGACCACTGGGTACCTTCCCATT